GCTTGCTTTTTTGTTTGCACAAAAATCATGCAATGGTCATGAAAAGTACGACATATTAAACTGGCCAAAATTGGTTCGCGGTCACCTTCTTTGTCTTCACGAATACGTATAAATTCTTGACGCAAATTAAAAGCCACTTGCTGGTTATTGTTAACAAATACTTTTACGGGTTTGTTCAACGAGACAGCAGCCAAATCTTTAACTTGTTCACTCATAGTAGCTGAGAACAACATAGTCTGGCGAGTTTTCGCACAAGAGTTAATAATTTCCTTCATTTGCTCAGCGAAATATTCATCCAGCATACGATCAGCTTCATCAAGTATCAAAACCTTAAGTGAAAATAAAGTAAACTTTTTATTCCAATATTGTCCCAAACTGTCTTAAATACATATAAAAGGTGTGCAATACTCAGTTGTAAAACCTCAGGCTTATATGCATAAAAATATTCCTCGTCTTGAATCAGAGCGCAAGGATGTCATCAATGCGTAACGCTAGCCAAACGCGAAACCTTCTGAAGATCATGCTAACCTCTATAGAATCCAAACTAAAACTTGGAGTGTTTTTAATATGGTCAATTAGGCGGCCCGGTGTGGCAATCACAATGTCAGGATTTTGTCTTAATACCAATTCCTGAGCTTTAACATCCAAGCCACCGATAGCAAGACCCACATCAATGCTGGTGAATTGACATAATTGCTTGGTGACTTGATAAACTTGAGCCCCCAATTCGCGCGTAGGCACCAAAACCAGAACTCTTGTTATCGTTCTATTGTTCATAGGACGATACAGTAAACGTTCTAGGGTAGGCAACATATAAGCAGCGGTTTTACCTGTAATAATAGATAATAATAATAATAATACAAGTGCTTTGCTTGAAATATAATATATAATCTTACCTGTACCCGTAGCTGCACAGCCGCATATATCACGAAAAGTATAATATTCAAGCGGAGCCGGCCATTTCGCCTAATAAAATTCCTCATCTATTTTCGTATTGAAATATCAAAAATTTTACTTTGTAAAAGTTTGCTTTTGATGGAAGCCTTCGAGTGTATGAGAGAATTGTGAGGCAAAGTTAATGAGTTTAATTTAATATCATTGCCACGTGAATAGCCGAATAGGTAAAAACCGTGATTATCAAGTCACTGTTCGCGATTTCATATCTCAAGTGAGATGGAGTTTTCTTTGATCGTAGCTACAGCGAGTACAGAGGAAAGAGCTACAGAGTAAAGGCATAAGTACTTATCGACTGCGCACACACTGCACTCGGTTTCGATCACCACTTTCCTATTCCTTCCGCTTTCCTCCCCTTCTTTCTAAGCGTCACCGTGTTACACGAACAGGCAGCAACCTCTGAGTGATTAGTTATAGCAAAAAACAAGTAAGAAAGTTATATTCGGCGAGGGGTCGAATCTCGCACACCACTCCCACCATGCTTTTTGCATTCTATTCTAGACGTTCTTTTATTTGACACCCATATCGCCGGAGTTATTAGGAAAACATTAATCGCGGTGTCTACCATAGTCATTTTAAAATTAACCCATTTTTAGGCTGATAATATATCTTCATTTGAGAAGTGTACGAAATAGTTTTAAAAATTCTGTCTTATTTGCCTTATGATAAATAAGTATAAAACATTAAAAAAGTGAAAAAATAAGAGATAACTTTGTGTGGGCATGGTCCCTTTTTGGACGTAAAGAGTACGTGGAAAATTTCAATCTTCCAACTTAAATAATTTCGAAGTAACGAACAAAAATCCAAAAATTGTCTCTAATCCCTTTTCTTGGTTGTCAAGCTTTTCACTAAGGGATTCACTCGCTATTTGGATATGTACCGGTTGTGGATGTGCCTCTGCGCTGTGTAAAGAGTACGTGGAAAATTTCAATCTTCCAACTTAAATAATTTCGAAGTAACGGACAAAAATCCAAAAATTGTCTCTAATCCCTTTTCTTGGTTGTCAAGCTTTTCACTAACGGATTCACTCGCTATTTGGATATGTACCGGTTGTGGACGTTCCTCTGCGCTGTGTGCATCCTTTTTTATTTATTTTTTATTTATTAGAAATATTATTTTTTCCTTCCCTTTATGTATATTTGTTTAGTATAACATTTATTTCTAAGAGTTAATTGAATTCGTCTGTTAATTTATTTTGGCTGAGTTTCATGTGTAAATAAGTAAATAAATAAACGCATAAATATGTTTACCATAATTAAGGTTTTTTTTTTTTTAATAAACAAGCATAAACTTAATATTTCGTCTGAGTAAATTTAGTTGAGTTGGTGCAGCTTGTGATTTTTTAAATTTTTGTTAAAATATTAACTTTTATAGTGACAGTAATATAAGTATTACGAACTAATTTATGCACCATCACAGTTGTTGTGTGAGAAGTCAACTAAAGTTTATTTATTTATTTATTTATTTATTCCACTTATACTAGAAGCTCAACTAAAACAAAATGGCAGTCGAGTTCAATTGACTCTTAAAGTAAATCTTAAATTAATTAATATTAAAACTTAGTATAAGTACAATAAAACAAATAAGAAGGGAAAAAAAGGAAAAAAGCATGTACACAACTATCATAGAGCCACACCCACAACCGGTACAGGGCCAAGAGCCATCGCAAACATGCATACGCTTGGCAACCGATAATACAATTAATTTTCGACTCATATTCACTTTTTAAAGCTAAAATTTAGTTTAAGTACGACATAGGTAAATCGCGCGTATTAAGCAATGTTGCTTTAATGGACTTTAAAGAGTCCGTTAATAAGAATAAGTGATAGACGTCATTTAGGTTCTTGCAAACGTCTCTGAACGGGTTAAACAGATCGTAATTATATTTGCATTGACTAAGCTTTATCAAGATAAAGTGCCTAGAGAAGCGGTTAGGGACATTAAAGCTTATTTCACAAAGTGATGCAGGCGTGTCAATAGCACCATTTATTACTTTGACTACGAAGGAAACGCCAAAAACACGTCCATGTTTCACGAGAGACGGTAAGGACAACAGAAGCCACCTATGTTCATAGGGGGGATAGAGGCAATCGGATCCCAACCCAAATTCTTAAGAGAAAACAACACGAATTGCTTTTGAACCGATTCAATTGAATTTACATAGCAGTAGGTATTATATGTGCGTTCTGCGCCACTGTTCATTTTTTGTGAGAAAGAGACAGAAGATATAGATATTGTCGGTAATATTGACTTTTGGGATGCGCTACATTGAAACAAAATTTTTGTTGGATGTCCCATTCTTTTTTTGTGGGATGAGTCCCGCCTTCTTTTGGGTGTTGGGGTGAAAAAAGGTGTGGTTCATCCCACCCAAAGGGCTGAATCATGCCTTTTCTGGTGTTTGCGCCCACCCGAAGACGTCCGAATGTGTCCCGAATGACATTCGTGAGAGTTTTTTTGAACCCGGGGGTCCGAGATGGATGTTCGTGTTGGGGTTTTCGAGGGTGTTGTTGTGCTGTTGTTGCAAACCTCTGTTGGAAACGAAGTATACCCTACCCTGGTATGTAGTTAATTGTGCTGTGCCTTGTGCATTTCGACGCAATTTATGTACTATGAGAATTTTTTGGGTTTTTACTTGCGCATTGTTTTTAATTGATTAACTGACCTATCTTAACACTGTTAATGGATGACCAATATTTATTTTTTAGCCGTAAAAAGACCTAGAACTTGTATAAATATTCTTGTGTATCTTGTATAATAATCATGTGTGCTAAAAGGAAAAAGAATTAAATAATTAATGTATGAGGAGCACTATTATTAATTTAGCCAGAGAACTAATTCTAAGGAAAAAAACAAACATAAAAATTAAAAAACACAAAAAAAAATCTCTTATTTGGTTGCAGGATTTTTTTTTATTGCGAGGGATAATAAACAGATGAATTTATAGAAACAACTGATGACTCTCTATCTGTCTATCTAATTTTTTTTCTTTATTTAAAAACCAGTTTTTTCATTTCAAACATTCTCAATATTCTCTTTATTTATTAAATTGAACTTAACATACCTTCGTAATAATATAACATTTTTCAGAGCACATCTATATGTTCAACAATAATAATTGCATAAATTTGTATTTGTATCTGTTTTATATAGAGTATCTATATTCGAACAGTTAAAGTCATCCAAATTAAGTATGCAAATTTCTTCTCCAATTAGTGTCTTCACCCATTTCAACTTTTCAAGTCCTTTAACATATACAGTTAGATTTTGTTTGTTTTTGATATACATCGTTAGATATTCTTCAGCATTTCTTAACGTGTAACGTCCGCGAACAGACTTAGGGTAGGGTGTCGGTGGATCCGTGTCAGCCAAAGACATTGCAGTAACGGCATCCCATTATGCAAAATCGCGTGATTTTGCGGTTCTTTCCTTTTTTTGCAAGAGTAGCGGCTAGCCGCTAGGCAGTAATGCAAAAAAAAAAGAAGAAAGACAAGAAAAAAGCAAAAAATCATGCGAGGGGATAGTTTTAACTTGAGTTTGGTTCTGGCGGAGTGCAAGTGTAGACGTCAACGAGTGCGCTTGCTCTTCTATTGTTTTTTGACTGTATGGCTGAGCTCTGCCTGTTTTTTTTTCTTTTTTTGAAATATGAGCTCAGACTGAAAGTTGACCATTAAAAATATCAAAAGAAATAAATAGAAAAATACGCGAAAGAAAATTTTGTGCAGTCGAAATTCAAAAAAAGGATAAATTTTAATTAAAACCTTAAAGTAAAGCAACAAAAGCGACTGTAACAACGTTCTGTATTTTTTTTTACTTGGCTAGTGTTAATAAAATCGGTGTGCCCACACACGTATTATAAAATTAACAGTAAGAAGAAACAGTGGAGAGTACATAGTCAAGCGATGATTAGAGATTTATTACGACACAGTTTTGAAAAAAATACTTTCTCTCGGGATTTGTATGAAGTTCCTCTAAAACCAAAACTGAATAAATTAAAGAAATATGCTGTAAAAACAATGAAAATATTAGATTTGGGAAAGTGTGTAGAACTGATTTCGCAAGAGGAAAATATGCTCACTTAAGGAATCAAAACTCCAAATAGTTGCTAAGAAATTCGAAGGTGACATAAAAAGTTCCTCATAATGTTAATAATTGCTTAAGCTAGTAATATTTCGCAACAAGGATTTAAACCATAAATTTCTATTGAAAGCCTTGACGAAATTTGCAACAGTCCTGTTTTTATTAGTTGTAATCTCTGCATTTATGAAGAATAAAAGCCGTACACTCACATGCAAAAGCAAAGTAGTTACTCAAAAAGAAAAAAATAAAACACGTTCAAAATAAATAACAAAAATGAAAACCAATTAAATAAAAGTGGAAACAAAAATCTTAAAAGGAAAAATAAGAAACATTTGCGTGTATTGTTGAGCAAAAAAAAGCTCTAGATTTGTACCCTAACTCGGATTATTGCTGAATTTGTTCTCTACACGCTTTGATTCCTTTTCTTTACGTTTTGCAAACCTACAAAATTCTCCAAAATAATCAATCAATAGGGTGAAAAACATGTGAAAGCAAGAACGAATTGTGCAAGGAAAACGAAGTGAAGGCTATA